CCTCACACACCCTCCACATGTCGCAATTCCACCACCCCCGGCCCCCAAACCCCCACCCTCCCACCACCCTCGCCCCTTAACCCCCACCCCCCACCCCCAAGACCCAACCCTCACACCACCCCCACTCCCCCAACCCAGCGTGTGAACGAGACCCTGGTCGCGCTGCTGTCAGCTGACCAGCACCCCGAGCAGCGCGCCAAGCTGGACACGGAGCGCGCGCGCCGCCTGTTCCTGCTGTACTGCTCCCGCCTCCGACGCGCAATGACATCACCCAGGTGCGGGGTCAGAGGGGAGTGGGCGTGGCCTTGTGCACCATGGCCGTATAAGAGAGAGGGAAAAAGAGAGAGAGAGTGTGTGTGTGTGTGTGCGCGCGCATGTGTGTGTGTGTGTATGTGTGTGTATGTGTGTGTCAGCGCGCAAGCGCGCGCGTGTGTGTTGGCAATGGATCAACCCAACCAAGTGATGCGAAACCCCCGACCCCCATCCCTCAGGTACTGCTATTTCTCAGGGTTCTCAGCCGTCGCGCCACGCGTCATCGCGCAGCTGCGCGAGCAGGTGCTCGGCAGCTTCCGCCTCGAGGCCACGGGGCTGGAGCTCATGCGGCAGCTCAACCTGTGGACGTGGTGCTGCGAATTTTCGGTGGCAGCGAGCCTGCACGACTGCCTGGACGATGACATAAAGCACGGCCTGGTAGCGCGGGCGCAGTAGGTGCGGGCGCAGTAGGCGCCCGTAGCCTCCACACGCGCTGAGCGGACCCCCTTGCACCGCCCTGCGGTGCGCGTGCCCACGTCTGTCGGGGAGCGTTCCTTGGCGGGCCGCCTGGCCGCCGAGTAAGCAGCGCTGGTCTGGTTTTTGGGGGCAGTCGAATCGTGACTGTACAGCGTGAGTTTACAGCGTCCACCAGTGTGTGTGCGAGCAGGCGCTTTGGGGGCCCCCAGGGACGCGGTCCATCGGCCACGGCAAGCGCTCGTGCCCAAAGGAAAGTGGCGTTGGAGGTGGTGCCGGCCCAGGGCAATCGGGGTGTGTGAATGTAGGAAAAGAATGTCAAGCCGCGCAGCGCCAATCAAAAGCAACAAAATGGACGAGGCGCCAGGCTGAGAGGAAGCCAGCGCCACAGCGAGGAAGCGCCCGCCATTGGTGGCACAGGGGACAACGGAAAACGCCGCGCACAGCGCCGCCTTGCCAGCCGAGGGCAGCTGCACAGCTGGCCCGGACCTGGCCTGCCTGCACGCGGCTCAGTTGAGCGTGCCCTTGCAGGTGGGTGCGCCGCACTGGCAGACGACCTTCTGATCTGTGTCCTCCTCCTTGAAGCGGTAGTCGTACCTGGTCGGATGAGGCGGGAAGGCGGATTGGGAAGCTTCACAGGACACGCACTGGCTTTGAATGTGGGCGCAAGAGTGTTTGTGGGTTCACCGCTGGTTGGCGTTTGGGGTTGCGCAAGGGGGCGCGTGAGAGCTGCACGCGAGTCGAGAGGAAGAGAGCGCGCGGCAGCCGGCGGCCGTGCAACGGCGTATGGGTGCGAGCTGCATGCAGGGCCGCCCAGTGAAGCGCAAGAGCATCAGCAGAGCTGTGTCAGGGTTGATCTCCCCCTCCTGGCCCTCTTGTGGCGCCCTCACGTGAGCTCCTGGCCGGCCTTGATGTCGGTGCGCGCAAAGAAGCAGAGGTGCAGCTTCCCGTCAAGCTCCAGCACCTGGAGGCACAAGAAGGGCGGAGCCAGGATTTGGGAGTGGATGTGCGCGCCACGAAGACGTGGCTGCGCAAAAGCCCCTTGGCACGCGTCCAAGGAAGTAGCGTGCCGCCGCCGCGACGGCCGTCGAGGCCTCCGTTGCGAGCCAGCGGCTCGGGTGCAAAGCCTGCGGCCGGAGCGGGGCCGAGGCGCGTGCGCAGGACGAATTGGGGTGCGTCCGTGCGGGGGTGCCGCGCCCACCTTGGAGTAGAGGCAGGGTGCGCAGCTGTGGTTGGTGAAGCGCGCGGGTGAGCCCATGGCGGTGTTGTCGATGACGCACTCCTCCGACAGGAAGAACATGTAGCAGTCGCGGCCCTGGGGGGGTGGGGGCAGGTGTATGTGTGCATGTGTGTGTGTGTGTGTGTGTGTGTGTGTGTGTGTGTGTGTGCGCGCGCGCGCCTGCAATAAAGAGTTTGCATGTGTAGCAGGTTGGTGATGAAATTAGGTGTGCGGGGCAGCCAAGCTTCCTTGAGGCACATGCACACCCACATTCACCCTCTCTTGCTCTCCCTCACATGCGCGCACACACACACATATGCACATATTCACACACTGGTTGTCAGAAACGCACACACACAATCATGCAACCCACCCCAAACAGTCGCAACCAGCCGCCCACCATCATACCCCACCCCCTGGCCCCCTCACCTCTTTGCGGTACCGATGCTCCCGAAAATCAGCCAGCGACGGCGCGATGCGCTGCCCCCTGAACTCACACACCATCGAGTCCTGCTTCACCGGCTGCCGCACAAACACCCCCCACCCGTGGATCCCGCTCTTGCCGACCGCCAGCCGCCCCGGCTCCAGCGCGCGGCACTGCCGCAGCCGCTCGCGCCACGACACGAGCTTCGGCGCGCGCGGGGGCGCCGGCGGCGCGGGGGCGCCGGCGGCGGCGAGCGCGGAGGGGCCGGGGGAGGCGGCGGGGGCCAAGGCAAGCTGCGGATACGATGGCGGCCGGGGGAGGCTGGGGGGCGGGGTGGAGCCTGGCTCCGGCTTTATCAGCGGCGCCCCAGGCTCCGGCTTTACCGCGGGCGGCGGCGGCAGCGGCGGCGTCCCCGGCCGCGACCCCGTCGTCGGAGGGGCTGCCCCGGCCGCC